ACACACACACACACACACACACACACAGTCATTCTCACTCACATGCTTTTCATATTCCTTTTTATTCCTCCAATCTCAAACAGCTTGTAGCAAGGATTTACTCTCACTCTAATTATCACTTTCACATTGCAGCATTTAATACATTGTAAATCTTTTTTCCTGCGAGCTGCTGTCACTAATTTAAGATTTAGTAATCTATAAGCCCTCTATCTCAATATGAGCCCATTTAGATTGCACAGGATAACATTTTTAGTTAAAGACTGTCATTCATTTACCTCCTTAAAGAGCCTGGACAAGAGAATATCTGTAACTTACAATAAACAATCCCACTCCATGCAGCCGCTGCTGAGGGGCCAACGTATGGGTGTAATTATTGTATTATCCTGGATTAGGCTCCTCACGTTAACCAATTACTGCCTGAAAAGTGTGTCAGGAAAGGGTAGACAAGGCAAATACGGCATGGTGCAACACAATTAAGCCTGAGTTCAATTTGTGACGGTCCTCTTAAGGTTTCCTGCGTGATTATGACAGCTGTGGAGGCCTTGATCCGCGGTGACATGGAGCAGAAAATTCATTTGAAAAGCACTCTGAGGGGAATAAACCTTGACGTAACGTTAAATATCATGTCTCATGGCCGTGCCAGCAGAAAATAACACATGGCCCGATATCTGAATACCTTGAATTTTTAATACAACGATAAGATAAGCACATAGTTTATTTATCAAGTCATTTTGACGCAATAGAGTAGAGCAGTGTGGGTGATTTTGTTATTTCATGGTTAGTGAGTATGACAGGGTTTGAGTGAAGTGGGGAGGACGACGGAGGGATTCACAAAAATCTAGTTTAACCTTTTACAAAATATTTGCTTATTTTAAAATGTATATAATGGGCTTCAGTGCTGCTACTTAGTGGACGTTCTTACATTTGGACAGAAACACGCTAATGTTTCCCCATTTTCTTATGTTTTAATGCTAATCTATCTAAAGAAGAAAAAGGGGAAACGATTTTCTTAGCTAACTCTCAGCAAACAAAGAAAATAAGCATATTAGCAACACTACAGTTCTGTAACTAAAGCTCTATCTATGTCGCACAAAGACAAATAACCCACTTTGACAAAGATCCTGCAAATGTCATTTCAATTCCATTTAAATTCCCTGAAACGAACCAATTCCCCTAATCAATAGATTAGCGATACCATCACAGTTCCATCAGAAAAGATAACCATGTTTGTGCCCCGTGCTCCTCTCTCTACCTAGTTGATCAAATAAGTTGCTCTCCTCCTCGCCCATCGCAAAACGGCTTACTCTTTCACCTGATGCCTGACGTTACCATAGTGACAGTGATTGGCCCGTATTTGTCTTCAAAAATGTCTCGGCCGTCACAGCGGAGAGCTTTTTGATGAGCAGAGGGTCAAAAGTCAATTCAGTTGGTGTGGAGGATCCGTGGTAATAAGGAGATGCATTTCTTGATGATATCGTTCTGCAGGCTATTAAAGATAAACCAGCATCTTGACTGACATTTATAGACAGTGTACAAAGAGCCATTTAAAGATACTTAAAAAAAAAACTGTGAGAGAGCGAGACAGAGGGATGGAGGGAGGGAAGAAGCTTTAACAGTTGGTTTGGTTTGCTCTCGGAGGGATGGATGATGCCCTTGGCTATGCAGATGATTAGGCCACTCCAGTTATCACAGGTCTTTAATACAGTGCCTAAAGGTAAAGGATAAATCGTTAGGTGAGTTGAGACGCGGCGAAAGGATTCCATTCTCCGTCGCTCCCCTCCCCCTCACTTTTCCACTCCACAGGTATAACAAAAGAAGTCTTATGAGCTCTGAAGAAGAGTTTCTATGAGAGAGGATGTATCGGAGCCAGTAATTTATACAGAAGATTAATAGCTCTAATTACTCTGAGAGGTTCACCAGATTAAGTCACCAGTTACAGACCGAAGATAAAAACTGTAAGAGAGCTTTAGGTTGCTACTTTTTTGCTGGTTCTTTCTTTTGTTGCAATTTTCATTTCCAATTGCTCAATTATAAGGACAACACACATGCATCACATTTCTGTGAATGTGCCAGTGTCAGCCAGCTGGGTCACTTTCAACTGCAGTCCTTCGGCCAGATGCTTTCAGCAGCATCGCTTGCCTCCGATTAAAAAAAAAATTCAGTTTCCAAGTAAATAACAAGCTTTCAAGTTGAACTCGGCAGTGCGCAAGAGTGACATGTGAGAGGGTGGACGGTGAGGGGGGGGGCTTAGTGAGCGGACCCCAAGTTTCCATTTTGACAAATCCTTTCTGAGAAGGTTAAAGCTTAATTAGGAAGTGGCCGGTGTGAACGGCAGAGGTCTCATCGTCTCTGAGGCGTTTTCCAAGCAAACAGCTTTAGTGCAGTAATCAGTGAACCAAGTGTTCTTAGAGATTACTGCAGCAGTAAAGTGAAGCTCCCTGCTCCACTTTCAGTGTTTACTCTCCCTGCTCCCCCTACTACTCCCTCTTTTTGTGGTGGTGGTGGTGGTGGTGGTGTTGGTGTGTGTGTGTGTGTGTGTATGCGGGGGGGGGGGTAGATGGCATACTTCATGCACAATAAATTCAACTGTACTCTGAGGCGTTATATTCAATATAATATTCAATCTATTGGATAAACCAGGAAATTTGCCTTAAACAATCATGGCCCCCTCAATGGAATGAGTGGAACTTATGTCTTAATGACCATACAAAGCTCTTTACGCTGAGAATCACATTCAACCTCAACACCCAATAGCAATAATTTACCTTCACAAGATTTGGATAATAGGCTTCTAATATCAATTGTTCCTTTAAACTGGATCTATTGTCTTATTCAAAATGAAGTCCTTCAATCCTCTGCCCCTCCCTCTGTCTTTCATGTTGTTGATCTTTAGGAATCCACTGAGTCAAGTGCACCAGAGAATAACACAAGAGCAGAGACAAACCAATATCCCCAAACTCCTTTGCTCACAATCAATTATTACCCCGACAGTCATAAGCAATTAGCTCATTATGCCCTTGATTTATTTTTTTTAGCTCATGTGGCTGAGCAGAGGAAATGGATATTACTTTCTTATTTTGTAATTAGTCAGAAATTTCCTCATTAGCTCTCGGATTATAATGAACAAATAGGTGAATTTAACTTCAATTAGCTTGTGGTATAATTCATCCCTTTGAAGGGGTCTTTGTAAGTGTTTCCTCTGTCACTCTATGATATGGGCCACGAGTGCTTTCTGAATATTCTAATATCCAGAGCCATGAAATGACATTAGAAGAGGAATTAGTGAGGAGAGCTGCTGTATTTGCTAATTAATTTTGAAAGATGTGAGGTTGGTGTCCCGTTCTCTCTCTGCCTTCTATCATCTGTCTCGCTGCCACTCTTTCTACTCGATTATACCCCTCTCTCATATGTTGGGGGTTGTACATTTCTGCCTCTCTCACCACACACACACACACACACACACACACACACACACACACACACACACACACACGTGCTAACATGGACACCCTCGTGCACACACACCCCAGCTTCTGCCCCTCTTCTCGCTTTCTCCCTCACTCCTTTTGCCGCTAATCTCCCTGTGAATGGCCCGCTCATCTGAATGCACCCCCCCACCCCCCTCTCTAAACCTCTCCTCAGCCTCAGCATGTGACTGCGCTTTAAGAGAAATCCTTGATGTGGCGTCGGCGAGAAACAGAGATATGTGGATTTCCCCGAGTCTGGAAGTCTGTGTCAGGTCAGGGATGAAGTCAGTGAGAAGGATACAGTTTGAAATCATCAGCATATTTTAGGATTTGAAGCCCCCCCCATTCAGAGTCTGCTGAGCCTCTGCTTATGGCCAACTCTGTCAGTGAGACACGGCACCGCCAAACTCTTTCGGGGCTTCAAGAACATTTCTCATGTACAGGATTTCTTTATCTATGCTTCACAAGTTTGAATTAATGTCTGGGAGTGGAATATATTGATTGTACTCTGGTTTATTTATGCAGTGTGTCCTTAGAGGAGGACTTGCACCATAGTTTCATGTACATTGCAAGAGCTATTAAGACCTAAATCCCAGGGCTTTGCATTCCAGGAGTTTATAGCATGCAACATTTATGTAAACAGTGAATATATGTAACTAGTCTGACCAAAGTCAACCCCCAGGTAAAGGATTATAGATGTCTATCTAGAGCAGTTGCAGAATTTTGTTTTCTTGTAGCACCAAAGCTCTCCATCTTTAAATGTCAAAAAACATACAGTACTTGTATTTTTACATGTTTTACTGCTCTGCACATCATTTACACTTTTGCTTTTATTTACATTTTCTCCAGGGTCAAAATAATTGCAAATAAAGCCTATAGGTGTATTTGTTTTCCCACACAGCGTGTCCCTCCTCTGGTGGTGAAAGACCTGTTTGAGGACATCAAGGATGGCGTGATGCTGCTGGCTCTGCTGGAAGTCCTCTCTGGAAAGAAGCTGGTGAGTCTCGTGATCGTTTCTTCAGCATGTGATCTGCCCACAGATTCCAAACTCCTCATATCCTCTGATCTCTCTGAATTAAGTTTTTTTGACTTGATCACATTGAGCTGAAACTCAGTCAGTGTTTTTTAAAAAAAATTTCTGTCAGTGCTGCCACCACAAGCATTCTTGGCGATTCTTAAAAGAGCTACAGAGCTAATTGCGGGCATGTGAAACAAGCTGCAATTACATGGAAATGCTTATCGATCGGTCTTTATTAGGATGTTTGAATTGGATTGGAAAGCCCAGATTAACCAGGACAGTTCAGAGTTCACAAATCCACACACGGCACAGACAAAGGCACACACAGCTTGAGGATTTTACTTTTCCAATATTGCCTAAGGTCTAAACACTCTGCGTCCTATTGATCCTGCTGTTTATAGTCAAACACAGGTCTGATAGGACCTTCCTCATTTTATTTCTAAATCTATATTTTCTCTTTTCCCTTTTGCTTTATGTGCATGTGCTGGTAGTGTCTTTACTGTACTTGTTAGGGTCTTAATTTCCATACATGTGTGAAATTTAATACTTACAAATACAAATCACTTTTCAATACCACTGTTTTATTTAATCCACACTATCTATTTCTTCCCCCTCTCTGTGTCTGTGTTTCTTTCTTTGCACCTTCATTGTTCTCCATTTCCCTTCCAGCCATGTGAGCAGGGGAAGAAAATAAAGAGGATCCACTGGGTCGCCAACATCGGCACAGCTCTCAACTTCCTTGAGGGTAGGAAGGTGAGATATCAGCGCCTCCTTTTTATGTTTTCCCTTTCCCCCCCGGCTGCTGCTCTCCCTGCTCAGCTGCTGCCTTGTGGGTGCGAACATTAAATCCTGACCTTGTGTAACCTGTTTCCCCTCCCTCCAAGCCGCTCTCTCTTTCCACCTCTCAACATCACTCTCTTATTGTGATAACATTTGTTGTATTTTTGATGATTTCGATATCAAAATATCCAATATACTTCCATTGTTTCACACCACACTTCTTCTACATTCTTCTTTCTGTTGTCTTAACCTTAGATAAATACCAACGATAGATAGCAGCTTCCTATACCAGTCTCTGTGGCAGAATTGCATCCCAACCCGACTCGTCTTTGGATATACATAAATAAAGCCATAAGCATGAGCTGGTGTCTGCAGGGACATTGATTTGTCTTCTTCGGGTGTGACAGGGTTAAAACCGTAAATCCTGCACCACTAATCTGTAGTCTGGAGATGAGACGTCAGTGGGCACTCTGCTGTGTATGTCTGTGTGTGTGTGTGTGTGTGTGTGTCTGTGTGTGTGTCACTGTGTAAATATGAATGTGTAGAAAATTAAATGTAAATATGTGCTGTGTGTAGATCAGATGCATGTCGAAACCATATTTACATTCTGCTTTTGAGGCCTAATCTAATTTTACCTGATACAGGTTTATCTCTTGTATCCATTTCATAGAAAGTGTGTAGTGTGTGCTGGCATAATCATGTTTACCGTTTCATAAATCATATTTGTGAACTGTTGAAAGCCTGTAATATATGAAACCCTCAACTATAATGTCACCAAAGGCTGCGATTAACAAAAATATCTCAATTACTCATTACATTACTTTAACTGGCAGGCTAATAATCAGCACAAAGATAATGTTAAGTCACAAACCATGGCCCCAACATGTCTAGTTTCCCAGACATGTTCATCAGTTTTTAGTGTCCCCTGGAAACACTTCTGTTGTGTTGCCAGTATTTGACTTGTGAGTGTTCGCAGCGTTTTCTATTTGGCACGCACATGTTGTCAAATGTTTCTCTCTAATTGCATGTGTTTTCTTAAATTTGGAATACGTTGAGCTCTCAGGCCCACTGCAGTATTGAAACAACTGATCCGTCATCACAATAGCTTTGTGTTTATTTTTCACAAATCGATATTGATTGATATTTATTAATATATATTCAAACACGTTGTTGCTACCAACATATGTAATGGTTGATGCACTTATTGTAAGTCGCTCTGGATAAAAGCGTCAGCTAAATGAAATGTAATATAACATAACTACAACAGTTTGGTCTTCTTGCATGCTGTTGCACAGATGCACGTGTGTGTATTCATAACTCAAAAACATTCCTGCTAACCATTCCAGCCTCACACCCGTGTTGAATTTCCAGGGTAACCTGCTGTGGTTTCTTATAAAAACCTTGTATTGCGAGTATTCTAATCAGTCACTATCTCACGCTTCCCCACGCTGCCCTCGCCTGCCCCCAATCTCTCCCTCCATGCTTGCTTACCTATGCCGAGTGGCATGCATTACCATGTTGTGACCTGTTGTGCGGCAGTGCCTCAGTAATATAACCCTCTGTGTGATAATATAGAATACTTCATCATATCACAAGGTACAGACCTTTTTTTTTTTGCTCATCTCTCCCTCCCTTGCTCGCTCTCTATCGGTTTCTGTGTCTGTCCATCTCTGTTGGATATAATCCCTGTTGCCTGCGTTGTGGTGATAGATCTTGCCTCTCAGCCAACCACTCCAACATGTTATCTCACCTCAGAGGTGCTACCCTATCTGGCATCTCACAGTCAATGAGGCATACCCCTTCAATCAAACACATCTTGAGTACTTCTAAACACACACACAAGCTCCTTTCTCTCTGTCTCACTTTCTCTTCTCCTTTTCTTACTTGCCCTCCAGTCGGCCTACAGAGGATCTCCGGTCAGTGTTCATAATATTACTGCACCTACACTAAAGGACCTAGTATAGATAGGGTCAGAAATATCTGCATCCAGTAGTGCTGAGGATTATACACATATTGTTCATTTAGTGTAAACATTTGTTCAAGACTGAATAATCAGATTGAGGGAAATTGTGTATTTTAATCCATATGTATGAGATTAGAGTGAAGATTAAGTGGATAGACTGGAATCTGGAATTATTTGGTTCTGTTTTGAGATAGATAAATAGTGGATATTGTATTTTGACACAGATCAAGCTAGTCAACATCAACTCCACAGACATTGTTGACGGACGACCATCGATCGTTCTGGGGTTGGTGTGGACCATCATCCTATATTTCCAGGTAACATTGCTGTCATTTAATTTACACAAGGACCATTTGTCAAATTATCAAATGGAATGATCACAATTCACCATGTTATCTTTTTAAAGATTCAATCAGAAGAAATGTTCATGTTGTGAACCTGACATCAACAAATCACAACTAGACGCACACTACAAGAAGCAGGAGGCATGAAAAATGTGTTTTTGCAGCTCCCAAAAAGCCAAGACGTGAATTGAATTGAAGTTCAAAATAAAAAAAATCAATCATCCAAAACATCATCTCTGCACATGAGTATTTGCTTCCCCAGGCAGATCTTGTAGCATCATCCCTACATGTAAATATCTGCTATTCCTGCAAACGTAAAGATTTTAAATGAAGGAAATGTCCTAAGCTTAATCATTGATGTTTCACATTCATGTCTATGGTTTACAGAGTTGTGAACAGAGGAACTTAGAAGTAGATCATCCGTGCACAGGAATACATCTTGAAAAACTGCCCAGCTGGCAAGGCTGAAGTCGAATAAAACATTCTGTGATGTTGTCCCGAGAGATGCACATATTTGAATTATTTCTGCACATGGCGGAGATTATATAGGGTGGGTGTTGATAAATATTTAATTATTTGACCATTGAATCGTACTTCTATGGAGGCGCAGGTACAGAATGCATTATTTCTGGGTAAGCAACAGAAACAGCACACTGAGCAGGCCAGTGAAGACAAATGGTTTTATTCTTACAAGATTACAACATGATGAATAAAGAAATTAGGTTTTCTAGGAGGGTCATGGCAATAAAGCAGATGATAACAGTTTGATGACAAGTTGACTGATTTATATTTTTAGGCACCAGGTATCAATGAAGTGCATCAGATGCAAAAACAAACACAATACCAGATGTATTCTCATTCAACCAAGGTGTAAATCTGTTGGTAAATTAGTAGATGTGGTTGCTGGACTCCTACTCTTCCTCTTACTCCTACAGATAGAGGAGTTAACTAGCAGCCTCCCAGCACTCCAGGCCAGCAGCACCTCCTCACTGGACAGCTCCACCAGCAGCACTGACACCACCAGCCCGCCTGTCAAAAGGAGACCCCTCCCTCCTCAGGGTGGAGCCAGGAAGGCCTTACTGAGATGGGTTCAGCAGACAGCCACCAAGTATGTGAACTACCTTCATCAGTAATCAGATAAATGCACTGCTTCATGAAAATCAAATCCTCAGTACTGCAGGCTGTGTTGTTTTTGTACACTGTGACCTTGTGATCCTCCCGTCTCTTCTAGACACTTGGGCCTCGAGGTGAAGGACTTTGGCCCCAGCTGGCGCACAGGTTTGGCATTCTTCGCAGTCATCAACTCCCTCCGGCCCAATCTCGTTGACATGGAACGTGTACTGAGGAGGTCCAACTGTGAAAATCTGCAGGAGGCCTTTTTATTGGCCGAGATGGAGTTAGGCATTCCACAGCTTCTGGACCCAGAAGGTAAACAATATTTCCTAGAGACCTCTTCATTAAGTTGATGAAAACGTTGAACAGGTCTTGGGTCACGGCCAACCACATACTTACAGCACCACAGGATCAAGTTAATTGACAGTCTTTTGTCGCTGCAGTACCTTCTACTTTTTTCCTCTAATCTTTAATACAAAGCAACTTCGTGACCTTTGTGCTACTGAATAAAATAATGTGAAATTATTTAACCTACATATTTAGTAGAAAACAATGTGATCCATGTTTTACTCGAATAAAAAGACATAACTTAATCCATATATCGGGAGCTTCTCATCACAGAGAGCTGGGGTTGTCTGTGGAATACAGTCATACAATAGTGGATATCTATCAGAGCATCATATGTGCACCCCCCGTGTCAGTGCCAAGCACCATCTGTGCTCCTTCACGCCTGCCCTTCAGAATGAACTCTGACAAATCAAGCTTGACATCAGTGTAATTGGGGTCCATTAGAATATGAGCTTCAGAATGGCGGAACCTCCAAACCAAACTTGTGACAGTGATCTGAAGAGCTGAAGGTTGTTTTCTTTTAAGGTGCCGCTCGGCTGTTCCTCAATAACATATGTCAGTCAAACGGGTATTTCAATCCCCCATTATTTTCCTTCATGAGAGGAATTGTTTGGGAATGATCAGAAGAATTATCAGCCGTCCTCTCTATTTGTCTGAGCAATAGCTTGTTCTGTGCATGTCCCCTCTATTTCAATTTGTCACTTTATTTGGATTTGTCAATTAATTTCAATACTGTCTATATTATATTTATATGTTTTCACCCTATTGTATCATTTTTATCGCTTGTGCATCAGAATCTTGACTTTTGATGGCAATTATTTTGTTCCTTCATCAGATGTTGATGTGGACAAGCCGGATGAGAAATCCATTATGACATATGTAGCCCAGTTCCTGAAGCATCATCCTGACCAAGGACAGAGCGACGCACACAGAGAGCCAGAAGAAGAGGTAACTGTCAGATTTATGTTAGTCACTGTCTTCTCTCTGTCTGCATCCTAAATGTCTTGTCTTTCTCTTTAAATGTCAATTGAGTGTTTCAGACCACAGCCATGTACATAGATGACAATTTCCCTTTGTTTATCAGTGTTTCAGTGAAGTGTGCACAGCTGGGTATTTGCAAATAATGTGAGTGCAAGATGAAGAGGCTTCTCTCATGTTCCATTAAAGTAAAAGTTAGTGCATTTACAGGGATGTGAATTCTGCTGAATTGTAACTTGCTTTCTAAAATGTCCCGATGCTGTAGCGTCCACTTCTCTGCTACTCTAAGTAATTTCACTCGTCATGTGAATCAGGTCTGGCTGTGTGTTGCTTGTTTTGTGTCTCCTTGTTGTGTATCTCTCTCTCTCGCTGTGTCTCCTTGACTTTCTCCGTCTGCTGTTTCTGTGTGGTGACTGCTTTCCTGTCGTTGTTTTGCTGGCCTCTGCCCCGCAGCGTGGTCTTGCCGCTCGCGATATAGAGGAAATGTTAGAGGTAGGTTATAGAGTAACTTAAGGTCCCAGGGGCAGGTTTTCCATCAATTTTTCCAAAACCCAATTCACTTTGCACCCATGCACATTCATGGTTTCCATATAAATTTGATTAGCCCTTATTTTTGTGGCTCCTCTATTGAATTACAGTACAGCTGTGTGCTGTACAGTGTATGGGTGAGATTAAACATAGTTGTCTCCATCACAAAATAGAGCCAGTATGCTAATGTTGGCTCTCTATCTTACCTGATGTGATATTCCTGCCGCAGGGTTCCGGGGCCATGATAACAAAAGGAAGTCCAGTATAATAAGATGTGATATTACCATTTATTAATGTTTCCTACTACTGCTATGGCTTCTGGTTCCATTAGCATGACAATGAAAGCCTAGGGCATCGGCAGTGTGCGTTGATACAGCATATTTGATGGAAAGCTTGCAAATAGAGTTTGTGTCAGGAGCTGCAACGTATAGCTGCACTAACCACATCGATGTCTGTGTAACACTGTGTCTTTCAGCGCTGATTAGGCTTTTTGTGGTTGTTTTGTTTCACACCCTCTTTGTTCTATGTTGTCGGGTCTTGTGTATGTGTTAATGTTTGTCGTGAATATTCTCTTTCACTGAAAGAAGTTCAGTTGGCTGTTTTCACAAAATAACAAGTGTATTCATTTTGAAAATAAAAGGCAACTGAATCTCTGGTTTGTAGAAGTTGCGATGTACAACAGAGCATTATGGGCCATATTGATGAAAGAAATTCTTAACAATGCAAGAATAATGTTGTAATATTAAAGACATGATTGAGAAAAAGCCATGTTAGTAAGAGAGTAAGGTTGTAATTTGACAAGAGAAAAACAGCCATGATATTAAAGTAGCAAGGAGAACCTATCACTCCTTCTGGATCCAATCCAACCAAACAATAATCTCACAGTCGACCATGGCCAAACATTTCGTCCTCCACAAAAGAAGCAACTTCCATCAAGTCTGCCTGGTTCTTTCTTCTGAATAGATCATGTCTTACAGAAAAAAGTACAGATACTAAAATTACCAACTTTATTCTCATAAAATTATGACTTTACTCCTGAAATCAGAATTGTTCTCCCTTTAAGTGGCCTTAATACTCTGTCGTAGTGTTGAGTACAATATGACAAATAATAAACTTCCTTCTGTCAAAATCCTCTTAATCTCTTTTAAATAGTAAGCTGTCATAGAGAATAAACTATCAGCTTTTTACAGGAGCCAATTGGAAGTGACAAAACAGAACAGACAGAGGCTGAAACTGAATAAACTATCGCACAGGCTTTTGAGTGGCACAGCATTATCGTCATGGTTACTTAAAATCCAATGAAATGTTAGCAGGGGGTCTTAGACAAAGTACCCAGTGTAAGCCAAGGTTTTTTTGGCAGCTTTGGGTTTTTTGACATTTCGTCCCACAGGGAGACACAGAGGATTATGAGAATGTGTTAAATAGTACATGCTATGCCCCTTCGTTCACCCTCTTCCTCCTTCCGTCCTATCATCAATCCCTCAAACATCTCTTTGGTTAATTACTTTCTCTCTCCATCTTCTCATATTATTTGTTTTTCTATCCCCCTTTACACTTTAACATATCCATCTTTCCACATGTCGATCACCTCGCCACTCCTCCATTGTACCTACCTCCTAGCGAGAGCAGCGAAAGAGCCTGAGGGAGCTCAAAATGTGTCTCGACCAGCTGGAGAGAGACGCAATACAGACTCAGGAGACCGAGGGCAATCTCGCTCAACAGTACCAGGTTAGTGTCTGGGTGCATGGGTGTGTGTGTGTGCATGCTGTTTGAACACACGGGCACAGACGCTCTTATTATTAGCTCAATCGGTGGCACTACACTGTGGGAATCAGACGGCAGCCGTCATATTGTCAGTCAATCTGGCTTATTCCAGCACGCCTCGGGACACATTCCATATTCAACAGCGTGCGGGATGGTCCCATTTTCTTTTCACGTAATTCAGAAGAGTCAAAAAGAGGGACAACATCCAGCTGTATAAATCTGAACTGATGTCATGTCATGTTTGTTTTCAGCTGTTCAAGAGTCTTCGTGTCCAGTTGGAGATGAGGAGGAAGCCGGTGGAGGGAGCCTTACAGTCCACTCAGAGAGACGGGATTCTGACTGTGGATCAGGCTCTGGTCAAACAAGCCTGGGAAAGGGTCTCCAACAGGGTGAGATGAGCAACTGTGGACATTATCTATGTCCTTCATTCATTAATAATCAATTTAAATCAACTATGACACAAAGGCAATGCATCAGATGTGCTTTCACTTTTGAGGGTTGGGTTTTCTGCCACGAATGAACCAGATAATCATAATCTGCTGTTTGTCTTCTCGATGGTTTCCTACATTTCAGCTCCTGGACTGGCATTTGCAGCTGGACAGGTCTCTCCCCGCTCCTCTTGACACGGTGGGGGCCTGGCTGCACGAGGCGGAAGGAGCCCTGCGACAAGAGATCGTCGTCCAACAAGCGCACGACATGACAGCAAAGACCGTCCACAGAGCTCTGGAGCAGCACAAGGTTAACATGGAGTGAAGAAATACAGCAAATATGTTTGTTCAGGGTGTTTGTTGTTCTGTGGTCTCATGTTTTCTGTCTTTACATCGTGCAGGATGTGTTGAAGAGTCTGAAAAGTCACCAGCAGGTCTTCCAGAGGATCCATAAGGACAGAAGTGTTGATGGAGTCCCTGTTCCTCCTGACCAACTCCAAGACATGGCTGAGAGGTGAGAAAGACACACACCAGTTTCTCTTGGAAGTCTGAAAATTATAGCCCAGAATATTATATTTCACATCCTGTTTTCCAGAATTTGAGGATCAAGCTGAAGGTCTAATTCTTTTGTCTTTTTCAGGATAAACTTTGTCTCCACATCCTCTAGCGTCCATTTGGCTAAGATGGAATTCCTGGAGAACAAACACCACATGCAGGCCTTCCTCTCTCTGGCCGAGACCAAGCTCAAATCCTGGATCATCAAATATGGCCGACAGGAGTCTGTGGAACTGATGCTCGACAACTATGTCGTAAGCTCAGAGTTTGATTCACTCCATCCATGATCTTAATCATCTCCTCAGAGTTACTATGCAAAGTTATTGTATGTTTGGAAAGTTTCATTTTAGGTTTTATTAGATACAAGTCATGGGGTTCTATCGCTGTATATCCATTATGATTTTATTGTCATTATTTCTCTTCACATGTTATAACATCTCTCTCATCTCTGTTTTTATCAGTCGTTTGTGGAGAAGCAACATTTCTTTGAAAATTACGAGGCATTCTTCCAGTCCCTGAAACAGTCTGCAGAGGCCTACGTCACAGCTGACAGCTCCGGTGAGTAGATAGTAAATTGAGGGTAACTCTTAAAAATACCTTTAAACGTTTTAATCCACCTACTGGTTAGGAAATTTGCTCTCTTAATTATCATCTTATTCAGGAGTCCTCTCTTACTCAGTAAGAAACTGCACAAGGTCAGATCAGAATGATGCTACGCAAGTCCATTACTTATTGCATTATAGGCCCTTCTTATCATCTGCAGTAACCATAGAAACCTAGGCTGATGGAGATATCCACTCCAACGTCCTTAGACACGGACTGAGGGTGAACTGTCCCTGTTCTTTGTGAGACAGATGCCAAGACACATTAGTACAAAGATTAGTCCATCTACACCTTCAATATATAGACATTGCATAGGAACATACAGTATCTGTTTTTATTAGCAGCACCCAAGAGCTGACTTGGTTGAGCGGGCCCCATGTATGGAGGCTTGTGGCTGCAGGTTTAGTTCTGACCCTGCCCTTTGTCTTCCCTGCTCTCTCCCTCTCTCTCTCTCTCTCTCTCTCTCTCTCTCTCTCTCTCTCTCTCTCTCTCTCTTTCCGGCTTAAAGTCTGTCCTGTGATTAAAGGATCATGAAATATCATCCAAATCCTATTAAATCCCAATAATGCAATAAAGCAGCACTGCTCATCGATTGGGATCGTTCCACAAACAAGTCTAATACATCAGCAAATATTAAATGCACAGGATATCTCAATATAAGTGTTACGGCTGGATCATTGATGGTATAGAGGGTTAGATATATATTGCCTGTTAGCCAACACTAACTGCATTCTGTCCTTTGAATGTTGTTATTCATTTGAAACTGATTGGATACCTCCACGGTGTATAAATATCTCACAATTGTGTGCTACATCTCAACTTTATTATCCACTGTCCACAGCTCAGTAACCAGTGAGGCTTTCTCATCATAGGTGCTCACTCTGCGCCTGTCTGGTTTTACAGCCTGGTGGGGGGGGAGTCTGCAGGCTACAGCTAAATGAGGTTCCTCCACTCTTAGCTCTCAGTGGGGAATACGACCCCATTTGCTAGTTGGGGGCTGCTCCACTTCTGCTCGTCTCTGGGCGCAAACTGAGCTCACTTTTTGGTTTCGGGGTTGTGTCGCTGTAGGGTGTGCAGAGCAGAGAAAGTGAGATGTGGTGAGAAATCAGGACATCGGAAGGCTCGATTGGCCGATCCCACAAATGTGATACCCCCTCACCAGCACACAGGCAGGAGCTCTGCTGGTAGTAAGCACCATGGGCTCTGAGACGCTGGATAAGAGACCATTTGGATCAGTTTGAGTTAATACTAAGGATGGATGGACAGATAGAAGAGAGGCATCACATGTACTTTTTTCCAGGCCATTGCACTTGTTGTTTCTGATTGAAAATGGTTATTTGTACTTTGTGGATTCATTTATCAGCTGCACACTGGCTGGCAGTGGTTTGTGGTACAGGACTTCTGAGACTGGAGAGTTCACTCTGAGGAAATAAAACACACAAGCAAATTGAATCCATCTGCTTGAAGTGAGTTTTCAGGGTCATAGATTTGTGCATGTTGCTCCATCAGCCTACATGGGCTCTTTGTCTGCTGTTTCCACGATGTTCTGTGAATACTGTGTGTACCATCTGTCCTGTGCATTAAAGTTTAAGGTGGTTACTTTCCCCAAACAGCGGCCACATATCATGTCAAAGTATTTGAAAATGCAGCAAGTAAGAGAATCAGAGATAATAACGGTTCCAGCTGTGGGTCTGTTTTTTTGAAATATCCCTGTCATTGTCATTAAAATTGATGTATCTCTCCTCCAGTGGATGAGGGCGAAGTGGGGGTGCGCAGGTTCATGCGGGAGGTGGTGACTCAGTGGCGGAGTCTGTCCATGGAGCTTCGCAGTGTGAGGAGCATGCTGGAGGAGGTGCTTTCCAACTGGGAGAGGTACAGCTCCACGGTGGCCTCCTTACAGGTCTGGCTGGAGGACTCAGAGGAAGCCCTGAGCCAGCCGGAAAACACTAAAAGGGTAAAAGAGTGATTCTAGAAAACCCCATCATATACTTCAAAGTATTTTTCAAGAGTCCCCTCATGCAAGCATCTATTTAATCGACTCAAGTTTCTTCAGAAATTGCAAGTAAAATGCACGTCAGCCCAGTTTCAAGCATTTAGTTTGCATAAGTAGGATTCTATTAGCAGTCTCCGCTCATGTATCAAATGATCTCCTTGACTTACAACAAGCCACCAAGGATGTTCCAGTTGTCGCATTACCATGGTTACCTCAGATTCACATCCCCACCAAGGATTAGACAGCTAATTACCCCAGTTTTTTATTGTCCTTTCTTTGAATCGCGCTCTTTGTTTCTTTTTTTTTTTTTTGATGAGCTGTCTTTGTTTCTTTCTTTAACACTCCGTCTTTGTTTTGTTCTTTGTTTCTCTTAATTTCTTTGTGTCGTTAATTTCATTCTTTCATAGAGTCTGCCTCTCTTCCAGGAGTTTTTCAGGAACCTCAGCCACTGGATGGATCAGCATTCAACCATGAATGACTCTGGGAATTTTCTCATTGAAACGTGTGATGAGACTGTGTCACTTGATCTCAAGCAGCAGCTGCTTCTGTTGAATGGACGGTGGAGAGACCTCTTCCTCCAAGTCAAACAAGTAACAAACTAAATATACAACAACTAATAAGATACTGCAAATCACACAAAACACAGAATTAGGTCAAATTCTATTTGATTTAAATAGCACAGGACAAAAAGTGTTAAGTTTTCTTTTGGTTATGGTGTGATTGATAGATTGTCTGTATTATCTTTCTTTGGCTGCAGTATGCGAGAGAAGATGAGTTGGAGAAGTGGAGAAAAGACCATCTGAAGGCTGCTTTGGCCCTGAAAGTGCTGCTGGACTCAGCAGAGGTCAAACTCAATGCTCCCGTTCAAGTGTCTTTCCTCAATGTCAGAGGCTTCCTACAGGACGTGGAGGTGGGTCTAACAATCTGGTTTTTTAGAATGGAGTTCGACAACAGTGTAGTAGTACAGCACAATATACACTTATTACCAGGGAGATGCCCAGCTCTAAATATGGTTCAGTAATTGAGATAGTAGTAAATTAACATTTGTACTGTAATGAAGCAGTGGTCTGAGATTAAATTGCAAAGGGCATCACAGCATATCTTGACATTTAGAAACAAATTTTGCACATGTACACATTATGCTGAAACATCTATTCCACTTGTCCTTTGAGAGTCACAGGGGGTTGGAGCCATTTCCTGCCAACATTGGGTAAAACTAGAGGTTTACCCTGGACAGAATATTACAGAGATGGCAAAGAAACAAAACATTTCCAATTGTTTTACTTTTGAGTGAACACACACTCTTTAACTTACGAGTTACTGAAAGTTTTACATCACTGCCGTGTTGTAGTCAGAGCTGCAAAAATACCATAAGTTTAGTTTTATTGCCAAAGGCAGTTTGGATGAACGAGTATTAAATTTAACAATGTATAAGCTGACCCCTTGGTTCCACGTCTCATCTCAGAATACCAGGCAAAAGGTTGTTGCCATGGAGACACAATACAAGTTGGCAGCCCGCAGTGCTCAGCTTGTTGCCAAGGATGCAACACAGGATGAGGCTGCCAGGGTCATGGCGACTATGACAACAGCCAAAAGTCAGCTGAGTAAGGTACGTACCATTTAAGGCTAAAACTTGAGAAGTATGAAATCCACCTCAGGTCTTTCATTGAGATCAACACACCTCTTCAATAAGACCTTTTAAATATCCCAATAACACACTTTTTATGTCACTGCTCAGTATCTTGTTTTCTTTGTCTCCAGGTGAGAGAGCGATGCCCCTCCCTAGTGAGGGAGTGTCATGTCCTTCTGCCACTGTTGGAGGAGATGGAGAAACATATCACTGCCTTTTACCAAGCCCTGGAGCGAGCCAGTCGCATCACTGCTGCTGCAAGAGACCCAGACTCACAGGCGCAGGCCCAGCACAAACAAAAGTGGCAGGTCAGACGTGATAACAATGCACAGATTTCACTTACACAGAATCAGATCATGTGATTAAAATGGGGACTTGTCTGTTTGTGTCACGTGTTGAATTCTGTAATCAAAAGGATTGAAAGACTCTGCTCCATTACCCTCACAATTTTTTCCTGATCATCATAAATATCCATCTTTGCCTTTACAACCTGTTATCAGCCGATATTTATTAAAAGTGTTGAAAGATGTACACAGACTATTATCAACGCACATTTTTTTTACGTTGTTTCATAAATATCTTCAGGATTTATTGAACCAGCAGCAAAGCTGTAAAAGATGTCTATCGGTGATTGAGAGGAATCACCACACCCTGCAGAGGACGCTCTCCAACAGTAAGATGCTCCGAAACTTCGACCTGTCACTGCTGCAGAAGAGAGTGGCAGAAATACAGAGCTCAGCACAGGTGAGCGTCAAACACACATGTAGAACTACACATATCAGAATACCACACTGGGATTACTGTACGCACAACGCGGATAATATTAATGAGATTACAAGAAAATCCAAACCCCTCCAGGCGGCAACACTGCACGGTGCACCTCATGTGACTTATTATTCTATTGCTTCATGTAACACAAATACACCAATTACACAACAATACCCGGGAAACCAGTTGCAGTCACTACTTCATCCTGCCCCTCCCTCCTAGGCTTTGTTGAAGGAGGTCGGGGACTGGAGAAGGCAGGAAGAGGCCGACAACTGCCTGAGGAGAAGGTTTGAGGAATCACAACAAGAGCTGGAAAAAGTGCTGAAGAGAGCTCAGGGCTGCTTGAGAGAGACTGGAGATCCTGAGGAACTACTGAAGAAACATACTGTAAGCTAACATGCAACCTTCTGCTATAAATAGAGAAGGTACACGAGGGATAGGGTTACTATTATCTAAACTAAAACAACTAAAATAAAACAGAAGGAAACTACCATGGATCCTTTATGTAAACTCAGAGTTTGCTTTTGTAAATGCAGGATTTCTTCGGACAACTGGATCAGCGCGTGCTGAGCGTGTTCCTGAAGGCGTGTGACGAGCTGACTGACATCCTACCGCAGGAGGAGCAAAAGGGGCTGCAAGAAACTGTCCGCCGGCTACACAAACACTGGAAGGTCAGGGGTCGCCATGCTTTAACACTCTTACTAATTACTGCACGTCTCCTGAGGTGCATAGCTGTTGCTTCATTAACTTAATCATGAGCACCGTTGGCTTTGATTGAGTTTCCTCCTCTCTGTTTCCAATTAACCTGCACTAGTTGGATTAAAATGCCACCTCTCAGTGTTTACTTGCAAAGGATATCTTGCCTCTGACAGTTTCTGGAATGATACAATATGAAAACTCATGTACGGTACATTACACAACATGTCTTATCTTCCATGTCCCCTATGCTTTGTGTCTTCTCTGTCTGTTGCACAGGACATCCAGGGCGAAGTGCCATCTCACCTGCTGCGTCTGAAGGTGGAGGTGGAGCACAGTCGAGTGGCTGTGATCCTCCAGGACTGCAGAGCTGAGCTGGACAGAGAAATGCGAGCGGTGTCTGGCACCTGCACCAGCGAGCGAGTGATCAGAGAACACAGAGTGAGTCTCGAAAAAATATAGAACAGATTAAACCAAGACAAGGAGACAGATTCAATCACTTAACGTCTCTGTTGTCACGATTCTGGAGCCTCTCGAGGTTCAACATTTCCTACGTTCTTATCTCCAGACTTTCTTCAGGGAACGCAAACCTCTGACTCTGTGCGAGAAGAGGATTAGGAACATGGAGGATCTGTGTCGTAAATTGCCTGACAACGACCTGGCTTATCGAACACTAGACTCCACCAGACAGGCTGTCGAAAAGGTTACGGAGCAAATTAAAAACACCCACCTCAAACTGGAGCAGCACCCTGATAAATGGAAAGAGTGGAATGAGAGGTAAAGAGCAGAATCTGCAGCATCAGCAACACAGCGCAAAGTCTTATTAATCACTGAAGGGGATTCAAAGTAATCTTTGCTTTTTCCAGGTTCTGTGAACTGTCTGATTGGCTCTCATCTCAGAGGAGGCAGGTGAGGCTCCTGAGAGAGATGGCGAGAAATTCCAGCCATCAGGAGGAAGTGGATGCGGCTGTTCAGGTGAGCTGGCAAGCTGAGTTTACTGCTGTAGGCGCAGAGATTAGTTTATGATTCACTACAGCTCAAATCAAGTTGCAACCTGCATTCGCTTTTATTGTTTTTAGGCTCTGCAGGAAGCAGTAGATGCCCGAGAGGAGAGCTTATTGTGGCTGAAAAGCCTCCTCGCTGGGCTGTCGGAGGTTAGCTCTGAACTGGAGGTACAGAGACAAAGAACAGCCCTGGCTAAACTCTCCACCGACCTGCGGGCCCTCTTTTCTTCACTCCGTCAGGTATTCTGAGTGTAACAAATGTGTCTACACCTGTGTTTCCTGAATGAAATCCCTCTGTCTGATCCCCTGCCTCCTTCAGTCACAGTGGGATGAGGAGGGATCTGCCATGTTTGAGTATGAGGAGCTGAGGGAGGAGGTGCGCGGTGCACTGGAGGAGGTTCTGAGTGCACGGAGGGAGGCAGAGGAGCAGACCAGCAGGATCCTTGATGCTGAGGATCTGGAGGAGGCAAAACAACTTTACCAAATTCACCAGGTGTGTGTAGGAGAGTTGGGGAGACGTGATAGATGGCAGTTAATTCAATTCTGTATTAAAATTTCTTTTTACATATTGACATATTTTATTGAAATTGTAGGAAAATTATCCAAGCAAACAATTGAAGTTCACATTGAATCATGATCCAGATATTAGAAATAGATGATGCCATGTGACATGTGTTCTTGTCTGTGTTTTTTATAGCAACACCTGAGGCGCCTGCATGCTAACAAGAGAGAGGCAGAACTTCTGGTGTCCCACTGCCGCCAGTTGCAGAAAGGGGAGGCACTCAGTCCCTCTCTACGGGAACTGGAGGGAACCTTCAGAGAGGTCGACCGCAAAGAGGAGGCAAAGGAGCACAACCTGCAGGTAGACTCGATTTTTCTCACATCAGTGTGCAATGTTCAAGTGTCATTGATGATCCACACAACCCCTGCCGTGATCATTGATCCGGCCACATCGAGCCCTAACTGAATATCGATTGTTTTGTGGTGTGTTAATTTTGTTTGTGACTGAATTTGTTTGTACAACTTATCATTGTCCCTCTAAATCTCTCATCCCCTCAAGGCCACCCTGAGCTCCTGGCAGAATTTTGAAGCAGAGAGGGAAATTATTCGGAGGTTTATCAGCAATACCAGCAATGAGCTGCACAGAGAACTGATATTCAACAGCTTGGACAGTTTGAGAACTGAATTGGAACGCAATAAGGTGTGTGTGTGTGTGTGTGTGTGTGTGTGTGTGTGTGTGTGTGTGTGTGTGTGTGTGTGTGTGTGTGTGTGTGTGTGTGTGTGTGTGTGNTGTGTGTGTGTGTGTGTGTGTGTGTGTGAGATTGTTTTTGCTTTCAAACATATACTGTATACCTATGTACACTGCATTTGCTCATTCAAGATATCGGCTCCTTGTCTGTGTGCAGGAGCTCTTCACGACGGTTGAGGAATGTTGTGTGAGAGCAGATCTCCTCTCAGAGAAGGCAGCAGATATTGAGCTTGGTCCAAAGAATCAGACTCTTCTGCAGCAGGCCCAGTCCACCAGAGAAGCAGTTGCACAAGTTCAAGACCACCTCAACAAGAAGTAAGCTTGAGTGTCTTATCCTTAACCTTTCGACTTGGATTTGTCAGTTTGAATTGAATGTCTCCTGAAACTTTCTCAAACAGTCATATTGTTCTCGTTCTTTCTTTATGACCTAGACGTTTATACATTTTGACCTAAGAGATTTTTCCTAATCTTGTGTCTTCCAGTGTTGTCCAGCTGGAGATGATGTGTGTGTGGTGGGAACGCTTCAGCAGCGAATCAGAGACTCTTTCCTCTTGGATCAATGAGAAGGAGAAGGAGCTTGAGGCCATCAATACCACATCCTCTTTTGATCCTTTAGATAAAAACATCAGAATAGTGGAGGTATGCCACATTTCTCCTTTCATTAAAGCATTTTATCCTGTGACTTGTTTTTCTATTTTCCGATCAGTCTGTCAGAGGCAAGACAAGTCTCTGCTCTAATACTGACTGCACACTTCAATAATCCCATGATATTCACAAATCCATATGCATCATGAGTAAAAATTGCTGTCTGGCCTCATGTCTGTTGGGTACAGTATCAGTGTGGCCTCAGGGTTATTAAGATTAAGATGAAATAAGATTAAATTTTTTAATCCAACCCTAAAGGGAAATTGGGTCAGTGTTGCAGAAAAAACTTGGATATAGAAAGTAAATTGATCATATTGAGGAAAATCTAATCATGCCCATCCAGCCTTTGGCCCTGTCATCTCACAGAGATCTGAAGAAAATCTGGTCCAAAACAATTTGGGGACTTTGCAAAATCCTGAGGAAGCCGTTTGATTTGTGGAGAGTTTGAAAACACCTCCAGCGCAGTCAGTTTTAGTTTCTACCCAGCTTTTGCTTGTTAAATTTTCTAGACCTCCAAGAACCAGAGTCTAAAAATATTTAGACTTTTTCGTCCTCTATCACTTGTCACATCTTGTTAATTGTAGTTTTTACAAACATTTGCCCATTAACATGTTTCTTCATCCCTCCAGGAGGTGGGGAAGGGTTTAGAGGAGAGGAGGGAAGCCCTGGCCCACATGGAGGCCGACTGTGAAGCCCTCTCTCGCTTTGTGACCCCTGGAGAGGCTGGATGTATCCGGGCACGACTTACCCAGATGAGGCGCTACTGGGAAGAGCTGAAGGGAAGAGTAGAGCAGCTGGGAGGACAGCTCAACCAGAGCGCCTCCTATAGGCAGAGATACAATGATAACCTGGAACAGGTATTTTGAAACATGTAATGCAATAACAATGTTACTTAAGTGATTTTAAGCCATAGGTGGTTTCAAGCACATGTTTGGGCCTTCATCTGTCTTTGAATCTTTGATGTAGAAATTGAAGTAAAGATTTTACAGTGCTGGTGTGTTATCTTTGAGTAACTACAGTATTTATTTTATCGTCAGGTCAAGAAAACCATGAATGATATCGAAGAGAAGCTTGACCGTCCCATGACATATTGTTCATCATCATCCGAGACCTACAAAATCCTCCAGAATCACATGGTGAGACAAAACACAGAGACAGCATGTCAGGAAGGAACTTCATTTTAGAGAACAAATAAAATTGTAAAATTATTTCCAACATCCTCTGACAAACACGTCTCTGTTTCCTCCAGGATGTCTGCCAGGCCATTGAGCAGCTGAAGCCCAGGCTGATGGCTCTGTGTTCAGCCATGAAGAGGCTCAGAGAGGGCAGTCAGCTGGAGGAAGAGGTGGATAACCTCCAGAAGCAACGAGGACAGTTTCTGGAAAAGGCTGACGAAAAGCAAGCTTTCTTAGAGAGCCTTCTAGCACTGTGGCAAAGGTAATATGTGCTCATGTTTGTGTGTGCTGTAGAATAACCTCAATATTCCTTAAATGGTCCAGACTCACACTCGTATTTTCATATAAACATTGACATTTTTCCTTTTATTTTTCATGTGCTCTTTCCCCCGACTCCTCCTCTCTGTGCCAATGTCCTTGTATTCCCTTAATCGTTCCCTGATCTCTGATGTAGACGAGCAGCCTCAGTTTGTCCCTCCCCGCTGTCAGCAACTGAATTTCTCCTCTAATAATACGCTTTTGTTATGATTGTCTTTGTTCACACAATAGACTTTTACTGCCATAATTGTTATTCATTTTATTATTCGGGAGGAAAAAATCATAGCGTCACTGTGGAAACCGTCTTGTAGTATTTATTCAGCCAGTGACTTTTTTGTTTAATTGACTGATTTTCTGGTCCTTAACTTCTGCTGGGTTTATGTATGTCTGTTTGCGTACGTGTGTGGTTCTGTGATTCTCAGTAGTTGACCTCATCTCCTTCCCTGCAGGTGGGTGCGTGAGGGATTACTCAGAGCACTGGGTGCTCTGCTGAGATATGGTTGTCCCATTATGACCATGTCAGTGATACTGATAAAAAAAAACTGCTGAAAGACAGTGTTACTGTGTGTGTGTGTTGTGTGGGCTTATATACATTAAAATCAATCTATTATTACAATCAACATTTACGAACTTCATTCTCAGGACAGTGCTGCAAACATTTTCCTTGATTTAAATACACGTCACCTTTTTGTCTACAGATTTGAAAAAGAGAACTCGTCCATAAAAAGCTGGCTGGACAGGTGTGAGACTGTTTGTTGTCCTGACACCGACCTGCTCTCTGCAGACAAAGTCAAGATTAGGAACGAACTACAAAATGTACAGGTAAATCCATCCATATTTTATTTGTTTCACATAAATCTGTCTCTGTTTAATTGTATTGAATTTATCATTGAGTTCTGTTTTACCTCAACGATGATTTGAATCAGTTGAATCATTTTAAAATATTTATTCCCCCATCAAGGAAATGCAGACAGAGTCACAGTCCTATGAGGTTCTTCTCCAGGGTCTTGTGAATCTTGGATTGTGTCTGTATCCCACGGCCCCTGACGCTCGTATCCAGGAGCTCAGTGATGTTCTCGCACGACTACAGGAGCGATCCACCTCAGTGAAGAACAGCATATCACACAGGCAATTGTGTTTCTATATCTCATTACACAGATTATTTGCAACCGTATACATCAGCATGAATGGATTCTGTATGGATTCTAAATACCAATTACTGTCATATTCTCCCTCTCACTTCTCCTTTAGGTTTCAGTTGCTGGAGTCACAGTTGTCACAGCTCGAGTTGTTCGATCAGGCGTTGCTGACTCTGAACCAAAGGAGTGAAAACTTCCTGTCTGTCTTGAGAAGCTCTTCACAGGTTGATATCGCTGATCTCGAGGCTGCAATTACAACGCTGAAGGTGAGAAATCGATAATTAGCTGTTCACAGTGACGTCCTTTACAGACTATGTATACAAGGACAGTTGCAGTAAGCAAGTTTATATTGATCGCCATTATAGCTCTTACAAATTTGCCTAATTAAACCGTCTTGTTGCAGGAGCATGAGATGCAACTACAGGCTTATGCATCGCTGAGAGAGACACTCCATCAAAGAGAGTCATCCCTGCTTCGCTCCTCTACCCCAGGAGCCCAACAGCAGCTCCAAGGCTGGAAGGAGGACAGCTTACAGCCCCTCAAAGAATCCCAGCGTCTCCTGCTCCTCCGTAAAGAGGGCCTCACTGAGCTAAAGACTTTCTTCGAGAAGCATGGCACAGCGGCTGAGGTTGTGCACCGCCTCCACGAGGCCGTGGAGGGCAGAGGGAGCTGGGACCGCTCCAAGGCCGAAGAGCTGCATCACGGAATAGGGGAAGTGGCAAATGACGTGGCTCGGCTTGAGGCTCAGGCAGTCAGGTTAGACGGGCAGCTGAGCAAGGCACACCTGCACCTGAGTGGGGCAGAGTGGCAGGGCTCCAGAGACACAAGCCATCCTCAGGGAAGAACGTCTTGCAGGGGACAGGCAGTGGCCCTCACAATGGCTCTGGAGGAAGTGCAGAGGGGTGTGGGGTGGAGACAGAGTGAAGCAGACGCTTTAGGGGCCCTGTGGAGCTCCTTCAGGGAGAGGAGGGAAGAGGTGATGAAGAATTTGAAGAAACTGGAGGATGAAGTGACGCAAGAGAGGCCCAGAGAGAGCTCTGTGCAGGCCTTTCAAAACAGGTATGAAGATAAGAAGTCACATCAGACTGAGTTGAAAAACTTCACCTCTATAATTTGGATTAAAAGCTACAGTTGACTGATTTAATTCAAAGCCTTGAACTCCCCAAGAACACACTGTGTATAAATGAAACCCAACTGTAGATGGACAAATCCTTTTAAATCTGATCCCCTGAAAATGAGATATATTATGTTGGAATCAGGTAAGTGATCCTCATTGTTTTCTCCTGCATCTGCTTCTCTCAGGCTGCGTTTCTTCGTCCAGCTGGAGGACGAGCTCCAGTCCCTGCAGCACACTCAGCAGTGGTTAGAGGAGAAGGGAAGCCAGCTGGCCCAGAGAGACAGTGAGCTGGCTGGGGAGGCTGTCAGGGAGGTAGCCCTGGTGAAGACGGCGTGGGAGAACGTCAGGACTCTGATCACCAACGGGTAAAAAAAAATTTTCATCTCGTTTAAAATCCTTGGATTTGATCCAGTTCAAGAGAGTGTAGAGAAGCAGGGAGTTTAATCTGCAGTGCTGAAGTTTTGTGTCCCCCCCCTCTGGCAGTGAGAGTAATTACACGCTGTTGAACAATTCATTATTTTTGTAGAAGAAATATAACAGCTTCATAGCCTCCACAATATTTTTCAAATACCAACTTGTCCAAGGACAGACATTCATCTCTAGCCTCAGTCCCGTCTCTTCTTTCTGTACTCGCCACGAGGAAAAGCCACAGAATTTATGATTCATTTTGTCCTTGTCATCAATTGCTCTTTCTTTTGTAATCCATCCTCTGAAAGCCAAGTTTCTCTTTTGACTGGAGCTTCAAAAACCTTTCTCTGGTGCTTTCTAGGTTTTTGGTCTAGTTGCTGTGGCCTACTCTGTTTCCGTGGCTAGAGTTGCTCCCCTCTTCAGCTCTGAAAAACTACCAGTCTGCATCATGTGAATGCAGACTGGTAGTTTTACTGGAGTTAGAACTGTGGAATATTGTAAAATACAAAGTTACTGACATTGATCAGCATTGTGTGAAGTCATATGGCAAAGACTTGACATTCATTTATAAATGTAAAATATATATATATATGTAAAACTTTGCTCACTTCATACATTTTTTATAATTTTAACATGGAAACAGAACAGATTAACAGCTGTTGCACAATCTTTGGGGTTTTAACAACTAACTTGGATGTTTTTTTCTCACGCAGTCAGGAGCAGAGTGGAGCTGTAGTGGATCTTCTCCGTCAGTTCCACCATCTGAAGTCGATCCTCAGCACTGTGGTGGAGAATGCTCAGAGTGTTGCTCACAACCTGCCCGACCACAATCACAACGCTCAGGAGGCCAAATGGACTTTCACCCGGGTCAGAATCTTTTAGTAAAAATAGTAAAACAAACTCATCCCCTTAAGAAACGGTTCGTCTTGAATTCAAATGAGCAGATTTGGATATTATTAGCAGGGCAACAGTTATTTATTTTCTTTAATCACTGCACTGTGTAATTCTGCATTTTATCTACTTAGATATATCAGGGTGCTTAGTATCAAACTCTCAGAGCTTAATTTCAATTTACAGTCACATTCTCTTTTCCAGTTTGTACAGCAACTCTCCCTCTAGTGGTGATCTGTTGTCATTCCCTCTGCCCTCATCTTTGTCCCTCTAGCATGAGACAGTCCAAGCGGAGCTGAGAGAGAAGCAGCAGGACATGGACCAGCTCATCAGTTCAGCTGAAGACCTGCAGAGAGAGCTGGAGAAAGTCCCCACCTCTGATTCGTGCTCCATCCAGAGAGACATGGAGACATTAAGAGACCAGTGGTTGGGGGTGAGGAGCGTTTGTACCCTGCAGTTATTTTAATACATTGACCGAAGAAATCACTCTTTTATCGAGACAAATGTTTGATGCATTCATATCCTAGAGCTCTTGGGTCAGACACTGTGAAATTCTGTGACATTAATGAATCATCCTCATCTTGGTACTCCATGAATTTTTCAAAAATTGTCAATATTATTTTGCCCAATTCTGGAGCCTAAGTATGAAAACAACTATGAAGCCTATGAAGAGATTTAGGCTTTTGTTTTCTGATTTAAAAAAACAACAACAACTACATTATGACATCTACAGGACAGCTCTGCCAAACATTTCCTGTTTTAATGATATTTATTTCTGTCGGTTTTCTTCTCTTCTTTTTTTTTTCCAATTTTCTCCTCTTCCAGGATTTAGTTAGCTGCTCAGCTGTCACAAATGAGACAGAAGCGTAAACAGGTCCAGACACGTTATCTGCCTCTCTGAATCTCTCCCTCACTTTCACTTCCCCACATCTGTCAAACTAATTAAGTCTTGTTTTCCTCCCGTCTCCCAGTAAAGCAGATCGTCCCTTGTTACAGAGAAGCACAGGGAAAACTAACCACAAAGAGGGAGAGAGAGCCCACGTCTTTGTTGACTCGTCATGTATTCTGTCCTGTGCTCAATCGGACTGCTGGTCTCTGTTCATTCAGGTCTCAGAGAAAATACAAACCAACGCTGAGAGACTTGGCTACTGTGTGGCCCTGTGGGACGACCTCAAGGCCATGGAGCAGGACATCAGCCAGTGGACGGCCACCTCCGTCGCTGGGCTCACAGACAGCTTCACAAATCTCAGTGACAAGGAGGAGATGGAGGCCCAGCTCAACACCTTTCAGGTCAGAGAGAGCTGCACAGTCTGCATGAAAGATTAGACGACCGATGCTGATTTTGTTATATTCAGACTTGAGGTTGTGATGTATTTTAAGTGTCTTGGACTTTGTTCGACAGGCTGAGGTTGAGAAGAGGGAGCAGAAGCTCGATGCCCTGCAGGAGAGAGTGGCACAGCTGAAGGAGCGAGCCAAACTGCAGGAAACCCCGTTACAAATTCAGGTGGATACGGTGCATGAGAGAGAAAAGATGTTTTATCTGTCCTTTAGGCCATGGATAATATGTCACCAAGGATCTGATGTAATGCTATGATGTTTTAGTGGCTACGGCTGCATGTTCATAAATGTCTGTTTGTAATAGTGTTTTTAATATTTTTAAATTGTCGCTCAGTCTTATTTACCTTTTGAAATTTTTGTTGCTTAATGTCTTTATTGAACCAGGTCCTGGAGTCAGACCTGCGGAAGAAAATGGCCCATGCTCAGGAGGCTTACAACCAGGCCAAACACACTCTGACCTACTTCAGTTTTCAAAAGCAGCGACTTGAGGACCTCATGTCCCAGATGGCCGAGCGGCTGGAGGCGGTTGAGGGTTCCTTATCTGACCTCACTGAAGCTACTTCCCCTGAAGACATTGGTACTGTCAAGGTAAAAATAGTGTCCTTTACTTCATTGTGGCGCAAGAACACAGTAATTAAATAACTATATGTAGTATATATAGAATAAAAGTCTATTTCAATTTCTTTCCCTATTGCTTAATCCTAACACCAATCATGCACCACATAATGATACATTAACAAAGCAATGCAATATTCAAATGTTCATGCAAGGAAACTTCATTTGTACAGAACCTATTTTAACACAAAAGCAATAGAAGGAGATTTTAACAACGCTACTTCCAAAATTGAATTCCTAGCACCTACTCTGTATACTTTAAATACTTCTAAGATGCACCGTCTCACTACTCTATATTTACAGGACCTGCAGAGCACTGTGCAGCAACAGAGGGCAGACATGGACTCGGCGAGAGATGCCCTGACCGCCCTGTGCAGATCGCATCCCTCCCAGGAGCTGTCCGTCCTCTCCTCTGACCTCACCTCCATTGCGAAGCGAACGGAGGCTGTTGCTCAGCGCTGTGCCAAGACCAGGGGCAACCTGCAAGACGAGCTACAGCTCCACTTCAACAGTAAGATGCAGGAATGGTCAGATTTAGTTTGTGTGTTTTTCATGCTGTGTAAATTCAGGCTTATTGGCATCCTTTATCAGATCAAACAGTTTAAGTGTTTCACTTCCATTTGTTCTTACTTGGCTTTTATGTTTTGTCCCTTAATTGTTGCTACTGAATTTGTCTGGATAATGTGTCCTGTTCCTGAAGCTAGCCACTATAACTTACTCCCAGATAAGGAGAGATTAGGAATTTAATAACACTTAAAATCTCATAATCACCCAATGAAACACAACTACATGGTGCACTGTCATTTATTCGTGTTAGTGGTGCAACAGATTTAGTGTTGATTATCCTCCATCTTTCCCCAGAGCACACTCAATCCGCCCAGTACAACCCACACTCCATTGACACACACTGCCTGGTACATCCGTGCGCTCTCATTGCTCAGACACACACCTGTGCCTCAGAGAGTAATGTCGCTCTCGACACATCTGCTCTCGAGGGAGTCATTTTGGGCCTGTTGCCAAGGCAACGAGGCGCTGCACAGCATGGACACGCCCACACTTCCCATCTGTCTGAAAACAACTCCTCTTCTCGCTCTCCTACTTCTGGTTCATTCAGTTTCAAATCTACTCTGCCTTCATTTTAACACGCAACGATTTTTCCTCAACTTATCATCATATTTTTCCTTCGTTTCACTGGTTCCTTCTCTCCCTCGAAGCAGAGCTCGTCCAAGGCTTCCACTCGTGGCTGGCAGATCTGAAGTTGGAGCTGAAAGAATGTTCAAACCAATCAGGAGATGTTGCCGTCCTCGGAAGCAAGTTACAAAGGATTAAGGTACTCTTACTGGTGGTGCAGTTGCTAGGGAGCTACGATTAATCAAATCATTTTATTAATTAAGTCTAATGCAAGTCATAATTTTGCCATATTCGATTATGTATATCTGACGGCCATGTGAGTTTCATGTGGGTTTCTTACATGCACAGGTGTCAGTCGAGCAGACGACAGAACATGAGGAGCGTCTGTCTCAGGTTTGTGAGGAGGCAGAGAGGCTGCAACTCCACCTGCCCAAAGCTGCAGCAGCACAGGTCCAAGAGCATCTGTCCTCCTGTAAGAGGGAGTGGAGGAACTACCTGAGCAGCTGTTCTCAGAGCCAACGAGACTTGGAGGAGAGTATTGACCTTCTGAAAAAGTGAGTTGTCACTCTTGTTTTGTCTCTTGTCATATATTTGGAATTTATATATATAAGGAATTTCAGGAAATTGTGAATTTGCTTATCTTCCCTTCCCCATCACAGCTTTGATAATTGTGTGGAGGGTATAAGAGACTGGCTGAAGCAGATGGCACTCAGCCTCAAGAGAGAGCCTGTTTTTGGGGAGGACAGCCAGCACGGAGGCCCTGACACCACTGAAGAACTGGAGAGGATGGAAAACCTCCATAAGGAGCTTCTAGCAAGAAGGTATGTGTGTATATGTGGGTGTGGGTGGCATGTTATGCATACTAGAGCAGCAGCTGTTAAATATTCTGAACAATAACATATCATAACTCTCTTGCAAGGGACTCTATTGAGCGTGTCTGCCAGGAGGCCCAGTCTCTGTCTGAAGCAGGCCGTGGGTCAGGAGGAGAGGTCAGAGTGACAGGCCAGCTCCAGATGGAGCTCCAAGCTCTGCTAAAGGCAGCCAGGGAGAGGCTGCGGGGCTGCCAGGAGAGTCAGGCCTTTGGAGAGACACTCCAGGGAGTTTGGGCCTGGCTGGAGGAGATCCAGGAGAGGCTGGGTACAGTAGACAGCACGATGGGGACCAAAGAGCAGTTGGAGCAGAGGCTGGAGACCGTGCAGGTGAGAAGGGGGTTGGCTGGTAGACTACATACCTACAAGTTATATGACACTGGTAGCTGCTTGATAAGTATCCTACCCACTAGGACAAGGTTTCCCCATCTTTCCTCCCCTCATGTCCTGTGAGCAAGCACCTGTTGCTGGAATAGTGTTGTGTGATTCAGTCCGAGCCTCATTTATAGAGCCAGGGCTGTGTAGGAACAAGAATCCTTTTTCATCACACATGCAAAAGACAACTAGCAGAGTTATTTAGTGAATTCAGTTTTTGGATTAGAATTTCTTAAACTGCTTTTCACCATTTTTGTTGCACACTTCTATTTTAGTTCAACACAAGAGGGGGCTGTTTACATGAGAACGTTTTTCCTCCAAACATCTGATGTCCAGATCTGGTCCAAAGTCTAATACAGTGTGTGACTCCGTTCTGTTTGCACAGGACATCCTGCTTTTGAAGGGTGAGGGCGAAGTCAAGCTGAATATGGCGATGGGTAAGTGTGAGTTGGCCCTGCGCAGTTACGGGGCAGCTGGACAGGAAGTGGTCCGCTCTCAGCTTCAGGAAGTAGAAGATGCCTGGGCCACGCTGCTTGTGACTGCCATGAGTTGCCACAGGTAAACGACTCACCTAGAACATAATCCACTGTGCAGAATAGTATATACTCCTGTAAACACATTTTTTAAATGTTTTTTAACTAAATAATTTACCCCTGAACATAACTGGCCATTTAGCTCTGTGCCATAAAATCCTCTCCAGGGGGCATGATGGTTATTTTTATCATGATAGATTGATGTCTCAATACCATTAATTACCATTAGGTTAAATACATAATGAGAAGTATTTGTCTCATTTTGTTACTCTGATTGATGTATCTCTGTACGTGTGTGTGTGTATGTGTGTGTGTGTCTGTGTGTGTGTGTGTGTGTGTAATTGAGCAATCATGGCCACTCCAGGAAAAAAATTGATCTCATTAGGGACTAAACATAGACTAGCAAACTGTGGGTCACACATGGGGTGTGTTTGTATTTTATGGGGAAATGATAACAGGAGGCGAGGGGTAGCAGGTGAAACGGAGGTGCGTGTGGATATTGATGTCATTCATGTGTGTGTGAGTGTGTGGATATTCACGTTATTTGTACATGTGGGGGTGACAGATGGCAAGGAAAATTATGGGTGTGTATCTGTGTCCATGTGTGTTTGAACCCCCTGATAAAAGGGGATAAATGTGATCAGCCAGTATTACTGACTTTTGGTTTCTACACCAAATCACAGGTCTGAAATTAAAACTGATTTTGTTCTTGAATACAAGGGGGAGTATAAAGGCACGTGTAAGGTTTTGTCTGGAGAATGATCTTTAAAACAAACAGATAACAGCATTTGTACAAAACCCACCAGTACTTATACTGTGTCAGAGGTTTTCTGTTAATTCAAACCGTACAATTCTTGTGTGCCAGTCAGTCTAACGCATCTATTGTCTCCCCATCAGTCGACTGGAGTGGACCGTGACACAGTGGGGAGGATACTTGGACAGTGCTGCCCAGCTGCGGTGCTGGATGGAGGCTGTAGAGCGGGAGGTGGGTGGCCCACTCATTCCGCAACCTGGGCCCAGGGAGAAGGCCTCTCAGCTCGAGAGACTCAGAGCCCTGCTGGCCGATCTTGAAGACCACCAGGCAGCGCTTACAAGCCTGGAGGAAAAGGCCAGAGAACTTTTCAAGAAGACTGGTGATGCCAGCTTTAACCATGGTGCTCGAACACAGCCGCAGGCACAGTTTGATGACCTCACGGCTCTGGTTGAGGTACAGAACATGTCATTGATAGTTTTGCTCACTGAAACAGTTTGGTAGCATTGTGATGTTTCCCAAGAATGATCTAAAATGTTTGTGTTGATTGTGTAGGAGAGAGTGCATCTTGCACAGGCCGTAGTGTTGGAACACCAAGAATACCTGGAGGCTGTGAGGGAGCTCACCGACTGGCTGATGACCGCAGGAGAGGAGCTGCAGCATTGGTCTGATACATCAGGAGACTCGACCTCTATCAAAAAGATACTGTCAGAAGTGAGGGTAAGCTGGAGTCTCACCTACAAACATAAAACATAACCTTGTCCGCCCTACACAACAGTTTGTCCTGGAGCTCACTGATTCTTTCCTTATTGACACTTTACAATAAACAGAAAAATAATCTTGTCACTTTTGTCAATAATCGGATTCCCTATTTGACAATTCCTGAAATTGACATTAAGCACTCCATGCTAATACAGTTTGTTTTTTCGACCATTTTATATGATGATGTATTAAAATGATTGTCTGCACTAATTATATATTAACATAGAAATGATAACCTCTCATATCCGTAAGTATTACACAAACCAGAGTACATCAGAATAATAATTCATCTCAGTGTTGTTGAAAGATGGTAAAGTATATATTATGTATGACAGTGTAGCAGTAATGCCTGTTGCTTTAAATGAACACAGAATGAATGTGTGTTGTAAGCATGCCTCAGGGATGTGTGGTGTGAATTTACAGCGTTTTAAGCTTTTACACGTATCATCTGTTGCTAAGGTAACTGACGGCTGAATTATCTGAACCTATCCAATCTTAACGGAGTCCTGCTATGAAGGAGAGCAAACTATGGAGGGAATTGGAATTGGTTCTCAGTTTGTTTCCATATCACAGCCAAATATCTCAATCCCTACTGGCACATTTTTTACTGCCGATCTGCTGGTCTTTTACTGTGCAAAAGAACAAGTTTTAAAAAAAGGAGCAGGGAAATTAATACCTGAGCTTTTCCCTGCTCAATAATTCTCTAATTACAGAGGAGACAAAACACGTGAAGAGATATTGATTTGCATTTGAATTTCTCACATGGGCCCTAATTATCCCATTATAAATGTGTGTTTGTTGAGCCATTTCACTAAAGGAGGAAACATAATTGTGTACACAAGCTACCTGCACGATTTTAATTTTCCATTTATGTTCTCAAGGTTAATGTTCATATCCTTCCACCCACATGTAGAGATCTAATGCATTTTCTCTCTTTTTAATCCCTCAATCAGCTCGCTGCTAACACATCATTCTCAAGTGTTTGCTTTTCACACCCTCTACCTTCCAAGTGCTAGCTTACCACACAGAACGATAGATGGAGGCGTAGAAAGATGGAGACGGAGGATGAAATGCGTAATAGAGAGAGAATACTGAGATAGAAAAATGAAAACACAGGTTCGTGTGTGAACCAGTGGTGTAAAGACAGAATCAAAGAGTTAGAGGTAGAAAGTGATGGAGCAGGGGATGTACAGTGTGAGAGAAAGATCATAGGCAGCTTTAAATAGAATCAACAACACATCCAGAGGTTGCAGTTTCCGTAGCCACAGTTTCCGTAGCAACTTTGTCTCCTCTCTGCCCTCCCTATCTCTCATCAGGAGCGTGTGGAGTGTCGGTTACTGGAGGGCCGAGAGCGCCTCAGCCGAGTGCGTCGGAGTGCGGCGACCACAGCGGAGCACACAGCAGCGGGAGGCTGTGAGGCCATGGACCGGCAGCTGGGGGCGCTGTCACAGGCTCTGGAGCAGTGGGAGGGGGCCGCCCTGAGGGCCAGGGACGGCCTGGAAGGGGCCCTGGCAGCTGCCGCGGCTTCAGAGGAGGAATACGAACGCCTGACCGCTCAGCTGGAGGATGAGTTGAAAGAGTTTGATGGACGGCTGAGGGGGTGGAGCCAGGAACTAATTAAAGCTGAGGGGCGGAGCAACGGCGAGGAAGCAGTGGATGGGTGGCAGCTGGCGAAGGTACAGTAGATTCATATAAATGGCAGCAGAATGTCTAAATAATTCACTGCTCATCTGCCCACAATAGGCAATGTAGAAAATAATTAATATTAAAATTCTTGTGTGTGTGGATTGGAGAATTGTAATGTGTGAAAGCTGACAGGGGCCACTGTGCAGTACTGTGTTTGTTAGAGAAGGTGATTAACGTTGTATAATAGAAAGCACCCACAGACACACACATGCGTACACACACACTCATTGTGCAGACATACATCATCTGCATTCAGCTTTGCTTTCTCTCTCAGTAATTATCCATTCTATTTGTAAATCCTAAAAACAGATTAGTTTGTAAATCAGCTTTACTGGGATGACGAAGGAGTGACAGCTACAATCCCATCAGTTTCCTGCATTTTCTGCTCATTCACTCTTCCCCTTCTGTCCCCTCTGCCCCTCCTCCTTTTGTTTTTTGCCATTATTTTTCATTATCTCTCCCTCCACAAACATTCCCTTATTCTTTTCTGTCATTTTCTCTTGTCTGAAGTGTGCAGCCATGTCTCTCTCAGTGTCAGGGTTTGTTTCTTAGATGCCCCTGCTCCTCACCTCCCCTGCTGCTCTGTCTCTAACCTCCAAAGGATGTTTACAGTGCGACAATTTCTCTGTATTGTCAAGGCCGTGTCAGCCTCACACTCCTCCCCAGGCTTCTTCGGCCATGCCTCTGCTTGGTTTTCCTCAATTTGGCCCTTTCAGAGAAGCAGAGGAGGAGTCTCACCCCCTCCTCCACTTCTCTCTCCTCCTTCTGCCTGTTTCCTGTGTCCAGCCTTGTTTTCGTTATGCACCGATTTGTGAGTGTTTGAACCAGTCCTGCATCTGCGAGGGCTGACAGCTGAATTCCACGGGGACAGAGAGTGAGAAGGAGGAAAAAAAACATCTGAGAGGGAATAAGTCGAAGCCGAGGGAGGAGGGAGAAAGAGGCGATAGGAGGGAAGAGAAAGTAGTAGAGTGATAGGAAGAGGAAGGAAAGGAGGAGAGGGAGTATAGAGCAACGAGTGCATGAGAATGGGGAGGGCGGGAGGATTGTTTATTGGTCATACGTCAGAGAGATAGAGAGGGAGTGAGAGAGT